GGAGATCCTTTCTCTCAGCCCCCAGGAGCACCACCAAGAAGGCCAAAGCCCGGAACGACCTCACCCAGCCCACAGCTCAAGAAACACCTCAGTCTATATCCAGCCTTTCTGCACAATACATCTGCCCTCTCCCATGGTAAACAGCCTTAAGGCACAGCAGGGAACAAGGAGAGAGATATATGCTTAAATATCCCAGAAAAGTACAAAGTGGAAGAGAAAAGGAAGGAGGAAGGGCACAAAGAGAACCCAGAGGAAGACAAGGGCTCAAAACTCACCTTGTTCCCAATAAGATGGAGCTGAAGGAGAGGATGGGAGAGTGAGGAGAAGGTCCTGCTTTTATAGTACTCCTGTACCGCCCCAGGCCCACAGTCACTGCACTAGGGCAGTAATTTTCCTACAGACTCATCTCCAAAGCAGACTGTCCTCCCAATTGTCCCAGGTTGTGTTTGGGTTTCTGTCAACGCTGCCATTTCATTTCCTCATTGCTGACATGGCCATTAGGCCACAGAGGATCTTTTGAAGTGTTGGGATGAGAGGCCCGAGGCTTTCCTGAGCATGATCACGTCAGTGCAGGCAGAAGATGTGCCCCCATGTGCTGCCATCTCTGGGGTACCCCAATCAGTGCTGTCAGCAGACTGCTGGCAGAAGATTGTTGCCCTCCCTAATCCTGTGATTCCTGAAGGAGCCCTTTTGGGCTGGGCCTCACTGTCCTCTCTGTCAGAGGGGTCTCTTGGCTCTTGGGATAACACCATATTCCTCCCTCTCTCCTCACCCCACAACACAATTTCCTGCACATTTTGTATCATAATCTGCAGGACACAAGCACAGGCCACATTTTCAATACATATTGTCAGTCCTGCAAGCATCCCCAGGGCCAGGATGGAGCTACCCTTGCTGGAGGGGAATTCAGGCCTTGGACAGGCCTGCAGGCACCACACACCTCTGGCTTGGCCTCACACCAAAAGGCTGACACAAGGCCAACCCAAAATTGGAGCGTGACTTGGTAAGGAGAGTCTCTCCCTGGAAATTTGCCTACTGAAGACATTCCCTTGCCCTCCTGGGATGCGTCCCAGCCGCCTCCATGTCTGCAGGGCAGGGAAGTGCATCAGTCATTGGTGTATTTTGAGAGCAGGTTTTGTACCCAGGGCTTTTCTGAGTGCATTCACTCCCTGAGCCTCCCCAGGCGTGTGGCACTGCAGGATCCTGCCAGGCCTCAATCCCTGGGGCAACTCCATTCCTTTTCTAGGGAAACTATCTTCAAGCACTGGGCTGTCCCCACACACCACAGCTCCAGGTAGCCCCAAAGGCCTTCTGCCCTCAGCCTGCAAAGGATGCAGCCAAAGTGTATCATGGGGTGAGGAGAGGGAGATAAAGACAGCGATGTCCCAAGAGCCAATATATCGCTCACGTGGTGAGGGGAGAGGCACCTGAGCCCACAGGACTTGTTGAGTGGTCAAGGGATTTTGAGAGGACAGTGCTCTCTTTCCACCAATCTGCTGACAGCACTGGTTGGGGTACCCCGGAGATGGCAGCGAGAGGAGACAACTCTGCCAAATAAACCAGGAAATGTCTTCACCAAAGGAGAAGATTTCCTTGGGCAAAGCCATTTGAAAGCAGTAATGTAACAAATGTGCCTAGAGAGGCAATGCCCAGTGACTCGTGGCCTGAGCAGGCAGGCACCAGGGAGGGAGAGGGATGCAGCATGCCCACATGCAGGGAAGACTTCAGGTGTTCAGGAGGGGATTGCATTGGTGGGAAGCCAGGACCATGTTTCCTTACAGGGGTTTGTAAAAACACTCACCACTTATTTCCCCACAGCCACATGCTCTGCCTGCACAGACCTCTCCAGCACATGGGGGCACATCTTCTGCCTGCACTGACGTGATCATGCTCAGGAAAGCCTCGGGCCTCTCATCCCAACACTTCAAAAGATCCTCTGTGGCCTAATGGCCATGTCAGCAATGAGGAAATGAAATGGCAGCGTTGACAGAAACCCAAACACAACCTGGGACATTTGGGAGGACAGTCTGCTTTGGAGATGAGTCTGTAGGAAAATTACTGCCCTAGTGCAGTGACTGTGGGCCTGGGGCGGTACAGGAGTACTATAAAAGCAGGACCTTCTCCTCACTCTCCCATCCTCTCCTTCAGCTCCATCTTATTGGGAACAAGGTGAGTTTTAAGCCCTTGTCTTCCTCTGGGATCTCCTTGTGCCCTTCCTCCTTCCTTTTCTCTTCCACTTTGTACTTTTCTGGGATATTTAAGCATATATCTCTCTCCTTGTTCCCTGCTGTGCCTTAAGGCTGTTTACCATGGGAGAGGGCAGATGTATTGTGCAGAAAGGCTGGGTATAGACTGAGGTGTTTCTTGACCTGTGGGCTGGGTGAGGTCGTTCCGGGCTTTGGCCTTCTTGGTGGTGCTCCTGGGGGCTGAGAGAAAGGATCTCCCTCAGGGTGTGGTGAGGCTGCTCTTCAAACACCCCTCACAGTCTGCTCCTCCCTGTCCTCTCTCCAGGTGCATCTACAGCCCCAAGACATGTCCTGCTACACCCCGTGCCGGCCCTGCCAGCCCTGCGGCCCCACCCCGCTGGGCAGCAGCTGCAACGAGCCCTGTGTCAGGCAGTGCCAGGACTCCACCGTGGCCATCCAGCCCTCGCCCGTGGTGGTGACCCTGCCCGGCCCCATCCTCAGCTCCTTCCCACAGAACACCGCCGTGGGATCCTCCACCTCAGCTGCTGTTGGCAGCATCCTCAGCTCTCAGGGAGTGCCCATCAACTCTGGGGGCTTTGGCCTCTCGGGCTTGGGCAGTGGCCTCTGTGGCACGAGGCGCTTCCCCTGCTGAAGCTGCTCCCTGCACTGTGGCCTCCACCTGGATCCCCCTCTTTTCCCTCTTTTGACTCATTAAATTCTGTTGCATCCCAGCCCACGCCTTTGTGTCATCCTTTGCCCTGCAGACACTCTCCCAAGGCAGAGAGGGTGTCCCAGGGGTGTTTGTGGGAGGGGGATGTTGGGGCTGGTTTTGCACTGGCTGTCAACACAGGCTGGCATTGGGTGGGCTCAGTGTGCACCCAGTGACCCTCTGGGTTGTGAGTTTCTCTGCCACTTGGGGTCAGAATAGGATTTCCCTGCCTTGTCCAGGGACAAACATCCACTCTGTTTGCTCTTGTTTTCCTTTTCCTTGCTCAGCTCAAGTACTCAGTACTGAATGTGTTACTGACCAGACACAGGTACTGGATTCCCATCAGACTCCAGAAGATCCGATCTTAACACAGGATGTTCCCAAAGGGAGTGACACTGTGCTTTGTGCTGCCCTCTCACAGACCCATGTTATCATGGGATCAGAGAATGGGTCTAGGTGGAAGAGACCATTAAGATTTATCTAGTCCAACCCTGCTGCCATGGACACTGATCATGGACACATCACATAAGATTTGAGTAAACCTGACCTTGAACCCTTCCCAAAATGGGACACCCCATGATTTCCTTGGCAACATTTCACAGTGTCTTATCACACTCATCACAGTAAAATTCTTCCTTTTGTCCTATATGTATTTATACTATCTCAGTTTAAAACTCTTGCTCCTTGTCCAATTATTACAGGCCTTGATAAAGCATGTCTCTCCAACTTAATTCATCCACTTTCACATATCAAAAGGATGCAATAAGGTCTCCCCAGAGCCTGCTCTTCTCCTGCCTCAAAAACAGCAACTCCCTCCAGCCTTTCTCCATCTTACGGGCAATGCATCCATGTGATCATTTTTGTAGTCCTTGTTTGGAGCTGCTCTAACAGGTCCATGCCTACTTTGAATTGAGGACTCCAGACTGGATTCAGGGTTCCAGGTGAGGTTTAACAAGAGCAGATAAGAAGTGGGGAATCCCCTCCTTTTACCTGCTGGCCATGTTTCTGTTTGGGCAGCCCTGGACCTGATGGAATTTCTGAGTTGCAAATGCACACTGCTGGCTCATGCCCAGTTTTCACTCTCCAGTGTCCCCATGTCTTCCTTAAGGGTCTCAGTCCTTTCTTCTCCTGGGCTGTTCTGATATCATGGATTTCCAGACTGCAACTTTCCTGGGAGAGTTTCTGGAGGGAGGGAGGCAATGAGAGGCAACAGGTGTGGGCTGAGGGCCTCTAAGGGCTGTGCATGACCATCTGAGTGAGGGGAGTGGCTGAACTCCTGCAGGACACAGGTGGGCATAGTGCCACATGTCCATGCAGAGTCCAGATTTGAAGTTGGCTTTGTAGGATGTGGCAGGGTCTTCTCAGACTCTGAAAAGTAGGGCCCAGGTGAGGTGCTTTTGTGGTAACACCATCAAAACAGAAGGAACTGCCAGGAGTGTTCCTGGACACCAAGGATTGTCATCAACATCCTGGGCTATCAGAGCATGACCGTCAACAGGATATTTAAGGAAGCAAAGATCCCACTCTGCTCAGCACACCCCAGATGGCATCAAGCATGCTGTGCTGCCTAGTGGACTGTAACACAGAAAGATCTCTAGCAAGGGAAGTGAAATACAGGAAGATTGACCAGAATGGTGGGTGAGGTGGGACATTTACTTGTGGGTGAGAGGCTGAGGGCACAGGCTTGCTGACAACAGAGAAGAGAAGGCTTTGGTGGAAGAACTGGAAGTATTCTTGGAGTATCTGAATGGTTGCTGAATGGTATCGGGTAATTCTTGCAGGTAGAGAGAGGCACAGTAATTTAGAAAGGTGACACTTAATATGAGTAATCAATGCTGTGTTAACATAATGAATGCAATGCTGACAACAATGGCAATACCACTTCCAACAACACAGCACAGCAGCACCTCTCTTGCTGGACATGTTGGGTGAGCATGTGCAGGGGAAAGGATGACACAGAGGCATGGGATGGGATGCAGCAGAGCTTTAATGAGTCAAAAGATGAGAAAGAAGTCACTCTGAGTGGTAGATAGAGCACCAGTGCTCTATCCCTGGGCTTGTACTGTTCTGTGAGTCCCTGGCTTCCTTCCCCAGGGCCGTCACCAGCAGCTTCAGCAGGGGAGGCACCTCGTGCCACAGAGGCCACTGCCCAAGCCCGAGAGGCCAAAGCCCCCAGAGCTGATGGGCACTCCCTGAGAGCTGAGGATGCTGCCAACAGCAGCTGAGGTGGAGGATCCCACGGCGGTGTTCTGTGGGAAGGAGCTGAGGATGGGGCCGGGCAGGGTCACCACCACGGGCGAGGGTTCGATGATGACGGTGGAGTCCTGGCACTGCCTGACACAGGGCTCGTTGCAGCTGTTGGCCAGTGGGGTGGGGCCGCAGGGCTGGCAGGGCTGGCATGGGGTGTAGCAGGACATGTCTTGGGGCTGCAGATGCACCTGTGGGGCAGAGAGGACAGGAGCAAGCAGAGTTCAGAAAGGGCTATGTCACAGCAGTGTGTTGGGCCACCGTGATGGAGAAAAGCAGAGAAGGAGAAGATAGCTGGAGGCTGCTTAGAGAGGCCCAGCAGCCTCACTGTTTGCTCAAGCCCCCAAGAATCTCCTGAAGAGTGACCGAGCCCAGGGACTTCCACCCCTCGGCCAGAAGTCAGGAGACATCTCAGACAAAACCCGCCTCTCTCCATGCACGGCTTCTGCCCCTTCTCTCCCCCATAACAAGCTGTTGTCAGGAACCCAGATGGGATTAAAAGCAGAGAAGGTGATCAAAAAGGCCAAAGGAGGAAGAAAAGAAAGGGCTTGAGACTCACCTTGATCCCAAGGAGATGGAGGTGAGAGGAGTGAATGAGAGAGCCAGGAGAAGGGCCCCCTTTTATACTGCTCCTGCACTGCCCCAGGCCCACAGGCACTGCACAAGGGCAGTAATTTTCTAACACATTCACCTCCAAAGCAAAATCTCCTCCCTAACGCCACACGTTGTGGTTTGATTCCCATCGACGCTGCCGTTTCATTTCCTCATTTCTGACGTGCTTGGTCTGTGTTGCAGCTCCTTTCACGTGTGCCGTGCGAGGCCTGAGGACACCCGGGATGGGAGCGTGTCCGTGCAGCACAGGATGTGCCCCCATGCCGCAGGGTCCCGTGCAGGCAGGGGATGTTGGCTCGGGGCAGTGCCTTGCCATTGTTGGCAGCTGCCTCTGCAGGGACAGCCCCAGCTCTGCCCTGCCCCGCACAGAGCAGCAGAGCACAGAAAGGCTCCTCTCCTCGCAGCACATCCTGCCTGCTGCTCTCTCCTCCCTCTCACCTCACTCCAATGTCCACTGGACACTGCTTCTCCAGGGAAATGCTTTCCTCTCCCTTCCCCTTGATGCCCTTTGCTGATGCAGATCATTTGCCAGGTCTTCTGAGTATTCCAGGGTTGGGGTTGGAAAGCCAAAGCCCACCTGGAGCTGAATCAGGAGAGTTTGTGGTGGGAAACAAAAAGATCTTCCACACAGGGCAACAGCAAAAGGGAGGCTTGAGCCAAGGCTGACTGGAGCAGCTTCACTGGGGCAGGGGTACAGGAAAGGGGAAGGTTCTCCAAGGCTTCTGGGCCTTGGTCTTCACTGGCAACCTTTCCTGTCACAGGATGAGGTTCCTGATATTCCTCAGAAAGTTGGGAATAGGGGAATCTGGAGTAGGTGTCCTCCCCAGAGCAGAGGAGGAGGATCAGCTGTAGGAACATTTAAACAGACTGGAATGAAGTGCAACCTGGGGATGACCACATGAGCCTTGGCACCAGTGGAAACACCTCTAAACACTCTTCAGGAGGTTCTGGCAGTCAGGGAATGCAGCTGAAAGCTGGAAGAAAGACCAGACTTTGGGCATCCTGACTTCTGGAAGTTCATGACTGAAACTGGCTTGGCTGCAGGTCTCCAAGGGTTGTGACGAGTGGGATGAAATGGGCAGAGACACTCTTGGTGCACCACAGGGCCCAGACTGGGGCCATCATTGTTTAACCCCTTTGGGCAAAGTCCTGAAAGGCCAGAGGGAGAAACTCCTGCCCCCCACAGGCTGGGGCTGTGGGGCAGCCAAAGAGCTTTGCAGTACAGAAAGGGATCCTGCAGGACATCACAACACAGCCCTGGGCCTTGTGGAACTGGCACCTGACGGCATCCAAGGCTGCATTAGGAAGGGATTTGATCTCTAATTGGGAATGTGACCCCTCTCAACTACTCTGCAGTGCTGAGAAATCAGTGCCACAAAGAGCAGTTGCCCACTGTAAGAGAGGCACAGTCATACTGATGCAGGTCCAGCAAAGGGCCTCAGAGCCCGTGAGGTGACTGGAGCCCCTGGAGCAGGAGGGGCTGCTTGAGGTGGGGTTGTCCACCCCAGAGGAGACGGGGCATCTGGGCACACTGCTCAGCAATGGCTAGAACAGCTGTGGGAGGAGCCCAGAGCACAGAGCTTGGCTTTCTTGAGTCTTCTCCAGAGAAGGGACAAGAGGAAATAGGCACACTGAAAATACAGGAAATTCTGAGGAAACCTTAGAAAATATGTTGTTAATGTGAGGGTGATGAACTTGCCTGCAGTTGACACCTGCAGGTTGAAGATTGTTCACACTTGTAGAAATTTAGGACTTGGCCCTGAGCATCCTCCAGTGCTGTACAGAGGGGTGGTTGGGCTAGGTGATCTTCAGAGATTCCTTTCCAGTCTCATGGAGTCTGTCATGGGAAAAAAACGGTGATGCACAGCTGCCTCTGAGAAGGAAGAACTGGATGTGAACCCTGGACTCAAGGGCAGCATCACACCAAGAAAATGGAGAGGAAGAGCTGATGTTAGGGAGGAAATGAGCAGCAATGTACAGCCCTGGGGACATCAAAAATCTTACACCAAATCAGGCATCTGGCAGGCTGGATAGCATAGAGGCACCTGTAAAGAGTAAAAGAGATCAGAAAAGCTGGTAGCAGCTTAGGCATCCTATGGTCAAAGATTAAGAAAGGTCCAGGAAAAGCACAGGAAACCAAGAGGACACTCTGAGCAGAGGGGATGTGCTCAAGAGGGCCCTGGGTACAAAACCAGGCTTCATCAAGGAGTGCTGCATTTCCCTGCCCCACAGACATGGAGGCAGCTGGGATGCATCCCAGGAGGGCAAGGGAATGCCTTCAGTAGGCAAATTTCCAGGGAGAGACTCCCTCTACCTGTGGCAAGTCACACTCCAATTTTGGGTTGGCCTTGTGTCAGCCTTTTGGTGTGGAGGGTGTGCTGTCTGCAGGCATTGTTCCAGGCCAGGATGAGCTCCCCTCCAGCAAGGGCAGCTCTGTCCATGCATAGAGAAAACCTCTCCAATACGGGGCTGTAGCCAAGCCCAGAGCTCCAGGCAGCTACTGCACACCTTGCCCTCAGCAGGACCTTATTGTCTGCAAAAGAGGGTGGAAATCAGCACTACCATTTTTCCCTGTTCCCATGACCCCTTCCTTCCAGAGACGCCTCCAGCACATCTTCTGCCTGTACTGATGTATCCCTGCCTGGGAAATCCTTCAGTCTTTCATCTCGATACTTGAAAGCATCCTTAGAAGCCTAATGATCACATCAAGAATGAGGAAAAGAAATGGCAATGTTAATGGAAATAAAAGCACAACCTGTGGCATTAGGGAGGATATTTTGCTTTGGAGGTGAGTCTGTAGGAAAATTACTACCCTTGTGCAGTGACTGTGGGCAGTGCAGGGGCAATATAAGAGAGGGCTCATCCTCACTCTCTCATCCACTCCTCTTGCCTCAGTCTGCTTGGATCAAGGTGAGTTGGGTCACTCCCTCTCCCTCTCCCTCTCCCTCTCCCTCTCCCTCTCAGATCGGAGG